ATTTGAATTACTTTGATTTCAATTTCTATCATTCTTAAAATATTTTGTTTGGATGAGTCAATTCAAATTTCTTAAATTTTAAATTGTTAAGTTGAATATGATAATTTGATTCCATCATAGTAAAATTGATTTTAAAAATATATTTATATGTTGAGATTTTTAAATTAAATTTTATAAAAATAAATATTAATCCATTTTTAAATATTTAATAATTTTAAAAATTAATATTAGATAATATTTAATAATTTTAAAAATTAATATAATATAATATTTAATAATTTTAAAAATATTTTTCAATATCCAATAATTAAAAGAATGAAGAGATAAGATAAAATATTAGGTGAAATAAGAAAAACAAATATGAGGAATTTCAAATTCTCCCATTTTTTGGAGAACTTGAAATTCTACTATTTTAAAGAATTTCACAAATGCTTGGATTTCAAATTCTTTGTAAATTCCTCATCCAAATAAAGCATTTCATCTCAAGAAATTTGAAATTCTTCAAATAAATGAATTACCCTATATAAATTCCTCATCCAAACACACCATAAGAGAATTGAGATTGCCACTAGAGGACAACATTATGAACAAAGTATGATCACCTTGACTCTTATCCCAAGGAAATCATTGTTTGAGTAAATCTCACAAACCATGCTTGTGGAGATTGCTTGAGCCCATAAAAGGCCTTTTTTAATCTATATACTTTGTTTTCTCCATTTGAAACTCTAAATCTTAAGTGAATTTCCATGTAAACTTCTTCTAGATCTCCATGTAGGAAGGCCCTTTTTACATCATCAAATTGTTGTAAATCCTATAGCTAAAATGAGTTGTCAGGGAAAGTATAACTCGTACTGTGTTTATCATTCCACCAGTGCAAACATCTCCACATTGTCTATCCCATAAGTTTGGATGTATCCTTTTGCTACAATCCTTTCTTTGTACTTGTCTATTGTCCTATTAGCTTTGTGATTCACTATGATTACCATCTACACCCTACAACCATAGTCTTTGTATCTGTCTACAATCTACCGTGTTAATTTTTTCTTCAATGCCTTCATTTCTTCTTTCATGGCTATAATCCTTGGATTGAAGTTGAGACATCTATAGAATCAATGGCTACAATGAAACTTTGATGTTGAGTAAACAATGATTAGTACAGACATATTGTGAAATAGTATATTTGACACAAGATCTTTTTCCTTTCCTCAAAGCAATAGGAATATCATTAACACTTACATCAGAATTACCTTCAGGAACGCTCACCTCTAGGTTAGATGATTCCTCTTACTGTGGAACCAAAGTGGGTTTGTCATTCCTTTGATATTTTATGCTAAAGAATCTATCTTCATCTTCTTTTTCTGCTTCATTATGGGCTTCTTCTTTATTATGGACATCTTGCAAATACAAAAATGTTAATGACTCTAAATAAGACTTGTCTTCAAGTTCTAAAGTTCTATCATCTTGAAGTCGATGATCAACAAAAAAGGACTCATTTTCATGAAAGGTGACATCCACAAAGACCAAGAAACTTAAGACTTTGAGGATGATTACATTTGTACTCTTTTTTATTTGACCAATCTCAGATTTATTTTTCACAAGATATGTCCATGTTGCCCCTGTACAATCGTCAATAAAGGTCAAACTATTTAGCACCAAAGATGGATTCCACAATAGGTCTCCCCCAAACATCAGAATGTATTAAGTCAAAAGGAAAAACACATTATCTCCATTAGCAACCGTAATGAATTGCTTTGGAATATGAGGCAAAGAGTAAACGAAGGGGAGTCATGTGATCTGTTGCATCAAAATCAAGAATCCAAACTCCTTGATAAATAGAGCCAAAAGTATTGAAAGAACTCTTACTTTTCATGTACAATGTACATGAGTCATAAGGCTTATTTATATTGATGAACTTGCATAATCACAAAAAAAAAAAAAAAAAACAGGAGGAAGGGAGAACCCAAATCTGCAACAAACAACACAGATCTAATTAACAAGTAGTCTTGCTAGAGATGAGTGCATGGCCTACATGCGCTGGAAAGTGGACCAATTCGTGGTGGTCCGTGAGAAGGAGTTAATTTGGAAATACATCAAATAAATATGACCAGGAGAGGATTTGAAACTCGTAAAACACAATATTGCCTTTAGATGTAGAGCTTTGTAAGTTCAGTGCCTTTTCTGTATTCTTTTGTAGTGGACATCTAATTTTTCTTTAACACTTATTAATTTATTATCATTATTGTTAAGATTTTGATTGTAGTGACATCTAACATTTTTTTAATGCTATAATTATCATTATTGGTAAGAGCCTGGTATCTTTCTACTTAGGAATGTTAATCATTTTACTTCTTGCTTTTTGCTCAGGCAAGTCAGATCAAAGATCCTTATTTCCTTTATCAGTTCATCAAGGAGAAACTCATGATCCAAAGTCACCTGTAAGCCCTGGATTTGTGAACCAGAATCAACCTAACAAAGATAAAGGTGAGTTCTCAAAGGTCAAAGCCCTTATCATTTCTACCTCCTTTATCAGTTCATCAAGGAGAAACTCATGGGTTCTCGCCTGACTGCTCAGAGGCAAACATCATAACTGGTTTACAACACCAGACGAATCCAAAATCACCTGTAAGCCCTGGATTAGTGAATCAACCTAGCAAAGATGAAGGTGAGTTCTCAAAGGTCTATCATTTCTTCCTTGTTCTGAAACAAATTGTGGTCTTTATATAAGAATTCTTCCAGTATTTTGAAGGTAATCTATTGTATCTATGTTAATACCCTAATCTAGAACACAAATTGGGTATAAATTCAAAATAAAGAACCAAGGTACACAATATTCAAAATCGAAATTGTACACTCAGTCTCCACTATTAACTGACTTTATTGAGCCAACAATAAATTGGTAGGTTTTTAATGGTTTTTTAATTGGTTTAATGAAATCCAGTTTAAGGTAGTCCAACTTCATGCAAATCTTGGAAGATAGCATGGAAGTTTGTAGAGTTGCTTAAAAGTAAAATAATCAACAAGAATATGGAGAAAATTTGGAGTCACTATAGCCTGCCTTGAGAATGCTGTATCTACAATTTATATTTTACTTCATAGTTATCAATCCCAAATAGCTGTGCAGTCACTGTGGTGCAGTTGTCCTCAAAAAGGCTGTAGTGGGATGGCTACTATATTGAAGATTACATTCTACACATATAAATGCTTAATTATCCAAATTAAAGATGTTCATAAGTAATAAGTCATAGACTCTTTAAGAGTGCCTGGTGCATAAGGCTTTAAAGATGTTCATAATTAATAAGTCATAGACTCTTTAGGATTTAAATTCATGGCTTCTAGGTCATGAGGCAGCAACCTTACTGTTGTGCTGAGGGTCGCTCTCATAATTAATTAGTCAAAACAAAGAACAGTGGGTTAGAGATGGGGATTGGAGTCACTAAAGTACAATATTACCTTGAGTACTTTGCAACTACAATTATATATATTTTTTTTTCATATTGATCAATCCCAAATAGCGGTCAGTGCAATTGATCACAAAATTGCTATAGTGGAATGGCCACTGTATTGAAGATTATAGATCTATTATAAGTAAATTATATCATATTATACACAAACGCTTAAAAAATTATCCCACATTATTGATTGTCATAACTAACAACTCAAAGAGTGGCCAAATGCACAAGGCTCCCGTTTGGTGTGGTATGGGGAAGTTAATTGTGTGTTTCCTTGTGCAAGTGAAGAGACTTCTAAATCCATGTCTTTTAGGTCACGATGCTGCAACCTTACCATTGTGCTAAGGCTCACTCATAATTAGTTAGTCTAAAAAGGAAAAAAATTGGGGGCACTTGAATGGCAAAACTAAGGAAAGAAAATAATTAATTTAGATAGAGGAACCAGATAAGAACTGACCAATACTGAGGCAAAGCCAGTGGTTTGTGCTCATTATGGCCCAGTGGATGAAACCATTGCTATAAAGGTTACCGGTTCACTGGAACAGTGACTAGTTTGTCATAAAATGGCCACAAAATGCTGTGTGGCGCTGGAAATGTCATTGGATAAAGGTGGGGTAATCATTGGAGACAACAATGTTTATCACATTAGTGAGGAGTAAGTAGGGTTTCTGTTCTGATTAAATGAAAAAGAGGGGGGAGGGATCCCGATAGTGCCCCCTTAGAACATCACAAAACCAGACGTTCTAGTGCCTGAATTAGTGTTTTTGAACATGGTAAAATAGCAGCAGCTGAGATGGCTACAATATCCTGCAATTGTGCCTGTGATTAGCACTGCTGTGAGTATTGCACAACCACTCCACAAAGGTAGGCAGAAGTGTCTCTTAAGAAAGTGAGATTGAGTTTAACTCAATCTTATAAAATCGACTTTATAGGATAAGCCTATTTTGGCCATGGATCTAGTTGACGTGGGATCTCCAACAATATGAATCATGAGGAGATGGAATCAAAGGGAGGACTGGACTTGGAAAAAGCTAGACAAATACTAGTCTTTTTGGGAACATTGGAGTTTTAAAAAAATTGGTCAATTTCTTGACCAAATAGATCAGAGTCTCGGTACACTTGCAGAGGCAATGGTGCTACGTTTTAGGGCTACAAATACAGCCGAAAACAATGCATTGGAAGAGATTGTAGGCACCCAATTGTTTATGTTTTGACATGAGGTTTTGAGTCTATTTTCAAGCTGCAGTGGTGGGCATTATTTCCGCTGCCAAAAGCCTGTTCAACTTGGGGACAATATGAATGTTCAGGGGGAAATATTGTTAGATGACTCGGTGGAATAATTAATTAGTTAAGTAGAAAGAAAGTGAATAAGCCTGCAGCTAATTGTCCACTATGGCTGGGCTTCTGTTATAAACTATAGACCAGTAGCTGCCTATTACTAGGAATAATTATAAATGGTTTAGGAGGACTTATCTTTGATATGAACCTTGAGAGAACTACAACCACACAACAAAAGCTAGCTATGGTAGTTAGAGCCCCTTAGTTATTCTGCATCTCATTCAACTTTTAAAAACCTCTATTTTTCATCTATAAAATAGGTTTACCACAACCTTTATGTGTTTAGTTTGTTTTGTGAACAGAGAAGATCACATAGGAAATAGACGCTATTATTTTTTTTCATGCCTTGTACCATCTATGACTATGAGCTCTTTAATAAAAAGCTTATCATATTAATTGGATAAAAACTGTTAAAACTGTCATCTTCAAGTGCCATTAGTCTCCAAGATGGGACAGATGTTTTCAATATTGATAGTCTAATGCATCGAGAATTTAACGTCTAATTTGCATCATCAAACTGAATGTCATAAATTTTAGAGCACATCATACTGCAATTTCATCTTGAAATCCTGTTATTGTTACAGTGAAGAATGCACCGTTTTCATCTGGAAGTACATGCACAGAGAATTCTTCCTTGTCAAATGACAAGTCTTCACCTTCATTATCTGGCAGCGTCAAAGTGGTTTCTGACTTGAGTGAAGTAAGCACCTCATCATTCACAAAAAGGGTCGTTGTTTACTCACGTAAGACCAATGTGGAAATTAAAGATGGTGGCACTGTATTGCCGTTTAGCGATGACAAGTGGGTTGCTTACTCATATTCTCAATGAGATTTGTGTAGCCTCTCATAGTCCTGTGTCATTTTTTGCGTCTCTCATAATGGATTTGTGGAAGGATTAAATTTTAGAAGATAAAATGTGGAACTGATAAGCTATTGATTTTAGAAAACTAACAGTTAAAGATTTTAACAACTAAGAAAACAGAAGCAGATTAGTTATTATTTTGTTATCAACAACTAGGAATTTATCCGCTGAGATTGTGTAGGAGAACATTTAAGAATATGAACATGTTGATAACCATGGGTATTTCTTTTCATAATTGTGTTGAAAATAAAATATAGCACCATTTAGGGAATATATTATAGTGTAAGGGAAACTAAATTTTCCCTCGTCAGGTACATTTAATGTGTTAATGTGTTTCGACTACATAAATAAATCTCTGGGATGTAGTTAAAATATATGGATTTAGTCTCATGTTTATATTTTTCTTTGTTTTCAACACGGTATTAGAATTCAGAGAGTTACCTTTAATTTTTATTATACAGTGGACCCACTGTGACATACTGAAATAAAATTGATAAAAAAAACATTATAGACAGAATTAGTCTTTTTAAAGTCATACCCATGACCTCGGGAGAGTTTCCTTTTATATTTAATAATATAAACCTTGTCTTGATAAAATTAATAATATTTGTTATCATACAAAAGAGAAGAGTTTGTTAGAATCAAACTTGCAGCCGTTAAATGTATTTTGATAATAACAATGTTTATTAAAATATTAGAGTAAAATCAAAAGCTTCTAGAAATGTGTTTGGCCCTTGAAAAGCATCTGAGGCAAAGTATCATGTGTAAGTAATTTAAGTGTTTAGTTTTGTTTTATTATAAACGTTACTAATTTAAGTGTTTAATTGTTTTACTATAAACGTTACGAAAGCGTCAATGTTTTAATATGATAATAAAGCGTCTTATGAATCTCTCGACGATACCTTTATATAAAAGATGTTTTGTATATTGATAACTTTTTATCTCGTAAATAGGGATGGGTGAGAATACGTTTTCCTATTCTTGTTTTATATTTATCTCCGTCTTTATATTTGAGAATGAATATGAATTTGTATGTCCAATTGTTAGGTATAAGGTATACATATATCTACTTTGTATTTGTCCAAAAATAAATTAAACATTTTTTTTAGTAAATATATATATATATATATAATAATTTTAATATAGAATAATAATTATAAAATTATATTAATTTAGTTTCATTTGACATAACTGTAAAATAGAATAAACATTACATAAATATAAAGTAAATTTTAAAAAAAATTAAATTTAAAATGAGTGCGAGATAAATATACACTCATCCCGTACCCGATTTAATAAATTGGGTATTATTCATACTCGGTCAAACCGAATATTATTTATTAAGGTTAGAACATATTTGGACATTACCTTTTACTTGCTATCAAATGCCCAGTAAGCAAAAAATTTATCTTATAGAAATATTTTTTTTCTCTTGAAAATCAATCAAATGCTTTGAGTATGTATTCAAATATTCACATACATATTTGTTTATATATTCGAGTTCATCACTCGAAGACAATTTTCATTTGCTCCTTCCACATCTACAAATCACTTAACTTAATCCGCATTATGTTTTTCCCATACTTGTTCACAACAAACTCCTCTTATCTAGTATCCAAATTCATTTTCAGGAAAAATGCTCCCACTCCCACATCCGAATCATCCAATTTCACAATGCTCTGCTTTTAAGTGTGTCGTCTCATTGGAATCCCATACAACCTCTTTATTTGGAGTAGGGTTAGTCGGTAAAGTGGCTTCGAATGAGTTTGTTGTGTGGAGGTATATTGGGTGTGTCGGAACCTAGGCGTGTGGAGACACTAGAGGGAGGAGAGGAAATGGTGAGGAAGAGAGAGAAAATGGTGTTAGGAAGAAAAGATATGGTGGAATGTGGAACACCCTGAATTTTCATAAAAATTAATAAGATGTTTTTAATAAAAGAAAATGGGATTTAGAAATAAAATAGAAACTTTAAAATAAATGTTTGTGCTCTTAAAATATTAAATATTATTCTTTAATTATTATGGGTTGTGAAATTATATGTTTATGATATAAATTATTTGGAAAAGGGGTATTTTAATAAAATTATTTTATTTGTAATGGTTTTAATAAGATGTGAGGAAAGAGAAGTAATCAGGGTTAAACCTTTTAACTAGAAGAGTTAACTTCGAATTAGGAGTAATTTTTGGGAGGGGTTCAAGATGTCAATTCATTTTATGCTTACGCTTTTCTTTTCTCTCAACTCAAGAACTCAAGAGGTGAACATAAAAGCATCAAAAGCACGCCTTCGAGATTTCTGTCTTTCATCAATCATTTATTTAGTTAAGAAATAGTGTGTTTTTTCTTTTGGGTGTGAATTATTTTGTTGGGTAGAGGAATTAGCTCCAACCTTATTGCCTATTTGTTTGTGTTTTTTCGGGGAGGGGGGAGGAGAGGGGGAATTTATGGTTTTGATTGTAGAATGAAAATTGATGTTTCATATGCTTCATATGAGTTTATATGTGATGATTGAGTGGTATGTGTTATTAATTTCTTATACATTTTTTTGATCATGAATATGTCGTTCCTATAACAAACACTTGATTTATAGAGAAAAGTGAAGATTTATGTTAATCGTGTGAGTTAGGGGTATTCACAGATTGGATTGGATCAGCTTCAAGGGAGAAAACCATTTGAACCAATCTCTTTAGTTTTATTCATTGATCATGTAATCAAATTGATTTAAAAATCAATTCCAATGCATTTCAATCAAAATATATTTCGATTTGGATTTGATAAATTTTCAATTTTTCAAACATAGCTATAATATGTTTATGTTCCAAAAAAGCTATAATATTTTTATGGAAAAAATAATTATTAATATAATAATAGTAATATTAATAATAATATACAAAATTACGAATAGAGATAATCTATTAATATTTAATAACATGATAAAATCACTAACTTAAAAAAAATCAAGTAAACTAATAGATTTTTAAGTACTCAATAGTCAATATATTGTTTACCACAATATAGAATACCAACAAGAATTATAAAAAAAAATGCATGACTAAAACAAATGGTAAAAGGCAAAGTGAATATTGTAGGGGAGAGGAGTTGTGAATGGTGTCTTTGTTGTCACATGTTTTTGTCTCTTATACTCATGAAGAGGGGCAAAAGGCATTTCTTCTCATGGGGAGAAGGTCGAGTATAAGTTTAATGTCCATGACAAAAGAGTGGACACTCAATAGTCATTTTAAGTTGGGAAGTAAAAAACGTGGATAATGAAGAGTCATTTTAACAGGTTAAAAAAATAAGGATAAAAGTGGTAAATGTCATTTTAAGTATAAGTAATTATTTAATTTTAAAAATAATTGTATATGTATAGAGAGAAAAATGTTCAGGTTGGTTTGGATTGGATTGATTTTCTCATTGGAGTCCAAAACTGATCCAATCCAATTAAAAAAAATCAATTTTTTTATTTTCAATTTTTTTTTGTTTAGTTTATGAGATTTACATTGGACTAGATCAATCATGAACATTCCTATTATAAATATGTGAAATTGATGTCACTAATTGATGGTATAATAGAGTAGTTTTAGGATTTAATTGATGTTTTCACTGTTAGAGTGAATGGGAAGTGAAAATGTCAAATTTGTGTAGTTTTTGCACATTCTGGAGGATTTTCACAAACTAGTGTCTTGTCGGGCACATATTTATGGTGTCAGACACATATTTATGACGTTGGCATGATAATTCACAACAATCTATGTTCCCTTTGCACCAAGCATCAAATAGGCCTTTCGAGGCATTATTTGACAATGTTTCTACATAAGTTTCATGTCAGGCATGACCTTAACCACACTAGGCGAGATGCTACAAAAAGGGTTTTGACCCCTATGTGTCAATGCGAAAAACTCCTCATCGGGCATCATAATGTGATGGAAACTTACTTTTCAAAGATCCCTTTGGAAGAGATAAGAATAAGAAAGGTGAAGGATGATAAAGTTAGTTTAAAGAATTGTAGGACACTTACCCTTATTTTGTAGGATACCTTATCTTTGGAGGCCTATTCTACCTTAAAAGACTCTTATTATTGTTGTACATTTTTCTTACTTGTAATTCATTTTAGTAGTGATTGTATTAGGATTTTTTTGGCCTTGTATTTTTTGTCAAGTAGTGTAGGTACATTTGTCCTTGTATTACTAGAGGGTGTAATTAGTAGATTAAGGGAGGTGTAATTAGTAGATTAGGAAATGTGTAACTAGTAAAGTCTTGTTAGACTTATTTGGCCTTGGATGACCCAAATCTTTTAATGACCCATAGGTTTGGACGTCCAAACCATGCCAAACTTGCCATCCAAGTTACAAATTAAGTCACATGACTTTGATAGTGACATCTTAACAAACTCGTTAAAAGTAATCATTAGTCTAGTACTTGTAATGTTTAGGTTAGATAGTTGGAGTTAACTTAAGCTAACCTAGGTTATTCTTAAACTAGGATTAGCTTAGCTTGCTCCATAAGCTTCTAAACAACTAACTAGACTTGTAGACATTTAACTATACTTAGTTAGCTTAAGTACAAGATAGCTATTGTTACATTTAACCATGGTTAGTCTAGCTTACACCATAAGCTAACTAAACTCTATATATTGTAGTTTTAACCCATTTTATAGGAAATTTTGTGCATATACCTAAGTTTGGCCGAGACTTTTCTCTCAAATTCTCTCTCTCAAAAACCTAATTCTCTCTTTGATTTGCTTCCAATTCTCTTATCCTTTTCCTAAGAGTTGGTGAGACTTGAAGTTTTATCTTTTTCCTTGAAGTGGCACCACTTGAAGAGAGTTCTTCACCATTGAAGGTGATTTTAAAGGTTTCTTCTTCCATTGGAGACCTTAAAGAAGCTTAAGAAGTGTCAAGAAGTCAAAGATCTAGGAAGAAGCTTGAAAGAAAAGCTTCATCAATCAAGCCTCTCCTTAAGGTTTCCATCATAATGTCATAATTAAATTTTGTGAATTTCATAAAAGTTGTAGCCTTCGATGTTAGCTTTCTAATGGCATTGGAATCACCCAACAAGGAGGTCTAGAATTCAAGTTATAATCAAAATAGTGAGTGAAGTTCAAACTATTAGATTTAAATTAAAATATTGTGGTTTTGTAATTTTTAAGTATGATAAATGGTAAAATAAGTTCTTGAGGTCATCATAGAAGTTGTAGATAATTGTATTATCTTTCTAAAAAAAATTGAGATCAACTTAATACTATAAGTATAATTCCATATATCGCATTTAGACCCCACATTGTTGTAGGAGCTCAAGATAAGGAAAGACAATTTGAAAGTTGTAATGGCAATAAGTGTTCAATATTGGAGATGATTTGAGAAATTTATATCAAT